AAAACTATAAAGATCTACTCTTATGTTGTATATTTTTGTTTTAATGCTTCAAACAAAAATTAATAATACTTAGTGTTAAAAGCAAAATTACAACTCAATAACCATTACAAAAGTGGTCAGAAAATCTGGAAAAATTAAGACATTATTTTTACAATAAGTACTGTTGATTTTAATACACTGAGAAAAGTAGTATTAAGAAAAGTATGATAACCAGACTAAAAAATACTTTATTTTTAGGAAAGCTCAGACATACTCACCTGATGACGCAAAGTTATAACGTGTGAAATAATTCTTATTGTATTTTAAATAATTTTTATTATGCAGTAGCCCTACAAAAAATTATTTCACGGCATAATAAAAACTACGATGTCTAAAATAGTGAAAATTGTTATGGTAAAATTTTTGCTACACAACATAGTAAATTTTATTTTAATCGTTTGTAAACATACCACATTCTAAAGTAAGATTTGCTATGTGACATAGTAAAATTTCTCATTCCACTGCATTACTATTTAGTATAGCAAAAATTACTGTGTTTAAAAACAATTTCGTACGACGTTTATACCTATATATGCCTATTACGTTTCAAATTTGAGGGTATACGAATGTAAATATTAAAAGAAACATATAATTTGATTTATCATGGTTAAAAATGGATACATGCCAACAATTAATTTTGAATCGACAAACTACCCGTTGTTAATGCCGTGGTCCACAGAAGACCTTTTTATTTTTTAACTTTATTGTGTGTATGATAAACAGTACACGTTCCCACATGTACTTTATCCATACTCGCGCGGACATCATGTATCGTGGTCTAGTGGTTGCGGAGCCTAACCAGAGATTAGTAGGGAAATTGCTTACTGCCATACTACGAAGTGTGCCCACTTTTTTCCAGTAATTCGAGCGCCCCACCGCGGCCAAGCAGCCGAACCAGGCGCACATTTTTTTTTAATTTGAGAAGCACGGTAGGGGTATGAGAAAAGTGGATTCGCGTGGAAATGTCCATATTGGCGCACATTTTGGAGACGCGTGGAAGGGGTATACTGAATGTGCACATACGAGGAGAGAAGTGAAAATGTCGGCTATATAGCTGTATATAGCTGAGCGCACAGCCAAAGCAAGCGACGACACAAGTTTATCTCTTTTCAGAGTCTTTTGACTCTGCAACCGAGTACATGCTATGTATATATTTAACTGACTTGCTCTCGCTCTGGCTTCAATGTTATCTATAAATCTTATTTAATTAAATCGTGGAACTAAATGCTCATTAATTACATACACAGACTTTTGATTTCAATACATTATTTTTTAACTCTCCCATACTTTTAACATTCCCAAATCCATTTATGTTTTTAAAAAATATGTAGCTTAAACTATTTTTTAAGGTTTTTAGTACATCTTTAACCACTAATTTATTAATTTTACACATCCTAACTGCTGTAAACTGTAGGACAAGCTCTGGAGGATGTCCATGAACATTGTTTTGCACCTAAGGGTTCAAATCCACTCCATAGTAGATTTTTTGTTTTTTTATTTATTCAATTTATCATTTTGTCTTCATTTCTTTTATTAATGTTTCGTTAAAAAAAATTATA